AAATCCCCCAGCCTGGCACTGGCAACTCTTGTGAGGCCTGTTCCCAAGGCTCCCTCCCTCCCTGAAAGGCTGAAATAGGCCTGGAAAGGGCCCTTCCCCACCCTTTTACTGACAGAGCCAGTTAGAAGCCCCCCCCCCTGAAAATTCTAATCTCTCACCATTGATGCCTGAAGCAGATCCCTGCAGAGGCCATTTCAAAAGGTTTTTGGGGGAATTCAGCCATCCCTGAAGGGATTTTTTTTTAGTTTTTGGATTTTTCTACAAACCCAGGAAGTCTACTGACTATGTAGGAAAAGCTGTTGGGGGAGAGTGAGCCCCCCTGTTGGTGGAAATAAGTATCCACCCAGGAAAAAACCTCTTGAAAATAGAATAAGGATATAGATAAAAGAAAACCAGGAATATGACAGATTGCACGGAGAGCAATTCAGGTCTGAGAAGCCAGGCAATCCCAGAAAAAACAGTGGGGGGAAGTGAGCTTCAGAATGGTTTAAAGTAACTTTTTTTAAAAAATAAATATTTTGTAACAACATTATGTAACAGCCTGAACAGCCCAAACTAGGGATGTGCATTCGGCTCTATCCAAGCCGGAAAATATGTTATCGGTATTTATGAGTTATTCTTTCAGTCAGATATAGATGGGAGTATATTTTCAGCTACTGAGCAGAGCCAATCCCAGATAATCTCCCCAAAATTCAGGATTATCTGGGAAACCAGGATAGCCGCAGTTAAATGGTGTTTAAAGAGAATGCACCCCTTTTAAAAGCCATTCCAGGTGAAGCTACAGCTTCATGAATGCATTTAAAGGGACCACAACACCTTTAAATGCATTTGGCTCCATTACAGTCTATAGGGACCATTCTGATCAATGATCCCAATAGGTTATAAAGGGGAATCTATCTGGGGGTATGTGGGAGTCGGGGGGTTGTTTTTTGAGGTGGAGGCACCAAATCTTCAGTGTAGCTTCTGGTGCCTCTACTCAAAAGATCTCCCCAAGTTTCAAAAAGATTGAACCAGCAGGTCCAATTCTATGGGTCCCCAAAGAAGGTGCCCCCATCCTCCATTATTTCCAACGGAGGGAAAAAACAGCAAAAAAGCAGGGAATGACGTCAAACCAGAAAGTCTCTGCAGTAGAAACTGAAGGGGGGAGGCCCTTTTTGAAGAACCAGTGCCACTGTATCAATGCCCGCTCCACAAATCCAAGCAAGGGGGTGGGGGTTGCAAGCCTAGCAGAGCCAGTGCATGTACAGAGTGCCCAGAAGAACCAATGCCACTAAGGCAATGCCAGCTCAACAAATCCAAGCAAGGTGGGGTTCCAAGCCCAGCATAGCCAGTGCATGTACAGAGTGCCCAGAAGAACCAATGCCACTAAGGCAATGCCAGCTCAACAAATCCAAGCAAGGTGGGGTTCCAAGCCCAGCATAGCCAGTGCATGTACAGAGTGCCCAGAAGAACCAATGCCACTAAGGCAATGCCAGCTCAACAAATCCAAGCAAGGTGGGGTTCCAAGCCCAGCATAGCCAGTGCATGTACAGAGAGCTCAGCAGTACCAGTGCAGTGTACTGGTGTACTGGCAAAGCCCAGCGCCTTCCCTTAAACTTTCCTTTTTCCCTCCACTAAAAACAATGGAGGATGGGGGCAACTTCCTTGGGTACTCTGTACATGTACTGGTTCTGCTGGGCTTGCAACCCCCCC